GTATAGGTACTTATTTTTACAAAATTTAATTACTCCTTAATCCACATTTATATGAAAAATCTTTAAAAGATTTTAAGGAAGATTCAATAAATTTTAAAAGCAAATTGCAACCATTCTTAAAGTTGAAGTTAAAATAAATATTTATTAATCTAGATTAAAATCTAAGATCTGTATGTCCAAGCAATACTTTGCATAGTACCTCCATGTGATAAATAGCTAAAACAATAATAAAGTTTATAACTTAAAATTTATATTATCTTACTGTAATTTAATTGCAACATTTTCTTCTGGACATATTTGATCTTGAATTCTTTGTTGTTTTAAGAGAAGTTTTTATTTAATTAAAACACTGTTCAGGATTAATTTCTTGATTTTTAAAAAGGTTGCTCTGTATTTTATAAAATCCTTTATTGTCCTGGTCTTGATGAATTAATCTTGTTAGAAAAAGCAAAAGAGCAATTAAAATGGTGATCACTGCACTGCAATAAATGTAAGTTAAAACACAGAATAGTGTCCATTATTTTGTTGTCAACGTGCATGCTTACGGAATGCGGTACCGTAATCTATAAATTTACTTTTTACAAGATACCAATCGTACGGGTATGAGGCCGGGAGAAAGGAAGGCAATCTATAAATCAGGCTTTACGAAAATAAAATAAACAGCATCTATAGCAGCTATTTAAAGCACATCTCTAAATAATATTGTGATTTGGTTGACAAGTGTATTTTTTGAAAGTTTCATAACTTCATTATGTATTAATTAACAAATTTTAACATTATTTAAAAAACAAATTAAAAAAAGAAAATAAACTTCAATAACACAAAAAAAAATTGTTATATTTAAAATAAACCCCTTAAACGTTAGAGCTTCATTTTTAGAAACGCACACTTATGACGGGGAATTTATTTTTTTATTTTCAACCCCTAAGCGTGAGTGATAGTTACTCCCAAAATTTTAAATGGGAAGGCGAGTAATACCTCATTTTAAACTTTTTTTTGCCCTAATTATAACCTCCAAGTTTAAAGTTGCTGCTATAATCACTGTTGATATCACCTTTATAATCTGTGGTTGTCAAAATCTTGGAAAATGTGTTGGTTTTTAGTTAATAAATATTTAATCACAAGAGCTAGCAATCTTAATCTTGGTGGATATAATAGGTGTCAAAAGACCTTTAAAATGGGGTATCACTCAACCCCTTTTTTTATTAAAAATTTTAGTGGTAGAAGTTACCAGTGGTAACCACCATATACACACATCAACATGGTCTAAGGATATTTTTAAAAATTAATCTAAAGTGATTATTTTTTAATATTTTTATTTAACATTTTTATTTGATGTTTGGTCAAGTCTTCACTCAAATTTGATAATACAAGAATCATTATTGATGTAAAAAAATAATAAAAAATCAGAACTCCAAATCCAAAAAAGAAGCATCAATCATTATACTTATATATATTATAATATTTACCTAAAAAAGGAATCTACAATTTAATACGTTGTATGTCCTCCTCTAGCATTAATTACTGCTTTACATTTTCTTCCTATACTAAAAATTAATTCATCTATCTCACCCTGATCAGTTGATAAGCTCTTGTCGGTTATTAAAAAATGGATTTTGATGAATAGCCCTCCTTTGTAGCATGTCCCAGGCATGTTTAATTGGATTGAGGACTGGAGATTGGGCAGAAAAAAATTGAATATAATTCTGGCAACATGAGGTGGGGATTGTCCTGCATTAATAAAAATTGGGGTCCAATTGCTGCAGCATATGGAAGCACAACAGGTCGGAGTATAGGATTTAAGTAATCAACTGATCTTAAAAAACCTTGTAAAGAAACAAGATCAGTTCTTCACCCGAGCTGATGCTTTCCCATGCCCTCACTGCACCTTGATAACTGTGCACCTCTTGAGCTGTTTGTATACTCTTGTTCTTCTACTATCTGGATGAAGTCAAACCTGGATTCATCAGTAAACAATACTATCGACCATTACTCTATAGTCCAGTTTTCGTGTTCTTTGGCCCAAGCTAATCTTGCTGCGCGATTGCCACGTGATAATGGTGAAACTCTTAGTGGTCTTCTAGCATGTAGATTAGCTTCATGCAAACGCCTTCTTACCGCACTTATTGTTACGTTATAAACTAACTGTAGGTCAGAAACCAACTCAGAAGCTGTCACAGTCACATTTCTTCGTGCACGTAAACTTAAAAATCGGACTTGATTTGGTGATGTTCCTCGTTATGGGCCCAAATGTCGTTCACGAACACTACCTGTGTTAGGATATCGTTGCCATAGTCTACTAATAACACTTTGAGTAGTACCTAGGGCCTCTCACACATCAATTTGAGAAACACCAGCTTGTAGCATTCCTACTGCCCTTAACATTTGCTCTTCTGTTAAATGTCGTCTCTCCATGATTATTTGAAGCATTTACTAGTCTATTCAAATCCAAGCTGGACTAAACAAAAACGCCCAGACGCGTGATAACTCGTTTCTATTGGTCGATTCTGATGGTGTGACTCGGATTGTGAGCTCTTATTGGTCGATTCGGAGGATTGTGTTTACATTTAGTCCAGCTTGGATTTGAATAGACTTTAGGTATCTGCTTGGAAAAAATGTTTGCAAAACACGCGAAATGAAAAACACTGCAATAATAAAACCTTATTTTGTAGTTTTTTTTAACACAATCGCTATTTTGATCGGAATTTGCATGATTTTATTGAGGGACAGGGTGTGTTGTATGCAGTGTATATAAAATAAAAATAGAATGTCGTTACATAAAGTGAATAAAATGTATTTAAATATCCCAAGAGCATGTTGATGATATATACCTATTACACCAACAAAAAAGTGTCAAAAAGTCAGACCCCTCTTTCCCATTGGGCACTTTGGGCAAGTGCCCAGGGCCCCGGGATCGACAGGGGCCCCCTCAGATCAAATACAATGTAGTTATAATTTGTCAAGAAACTGAAAAATTAATTAGAAATAAATTTAAATTTAAAAATAGTGTCATGTATATAAGTAATAAAGTATTCTATAATGTACAGTCAATATTTTCAAATTCTGCAATGATTGATCATATAAAGAACCAAGATATATTGGACAATCATAGAATTCTTCTGATTAAAAAAAATATTGTTATATTTTTAAGCTCCAGACTAAATTGGGAAGGTAAGAAGGCTTCTGAAAAACCAGAATTTGTTAGACAAAAACTACATAAGCTAATTTTATTTAAAAATCAATAAAATATTGTTTTTCTTTATTTATTCTTTATTATTTATTTATAAAATATCCTAATTATTGGAATCATGTTTTTTAGTGTACATATTTGCATATGGTTTATTTTATGTTTGTTTTTATAACTTGTATTATTATTTATAATTTTATTGGTACCAAATATGCTTGAATTAAATTGGGGGTTTAAAAATTAATACTTGTGTTTCTTTTACCTAACTAATTTTAAAATAATGTTATATCAATGTAAGTAAATTCACAATCTAGTCCCTTTTTTACAAGTAAGTATACTTATAAATCAACTGCTTATAGAAAAAGGAAGTATACCTTACACTTTTCAGTTTTGAAAAAGAATTTCCCTAAATTAATTTGGACTTAAACCCAATATATTGGGTTTGGTTTCGAAATATACAATGTTTGTCGATAACTTGCGATCAATCTCCAAACAGCTAATAATAAGCGCGATGATATTTATCTATTCGTTTCATATGATTGTTAATAAAAATAAATATTTAACCTTGTTTATCTACTTTCTTTGTCTATTCTAACAAAATAGTGTTCTGTCAAAGTCATAGGGGCCCCATTATCCTAACATGCCCAGGGCCTCCAATAGGTTAAAGACGGCCCTGCAAAAAGTTAAGACCTTGAAAGAAAAAGCTGTTATAACTATAGTTATGACAGTTCTTCCTATAGCAACTTGGAACAACTGTTTAAAAAAATAAAAACCGATTTTAAAAACCTCTTATAATAGCTTTTTTCCATGACCCTTGTAGAAATTTTTCTCTGAAAAAGTTTTAATAATACATTTGTCTGCAAAAAGTCTTATTAAGTCTTATTAACACTTCCAGAAGACTCCTAAATCTTGCTATTAGTCTGACTTACTAAGACTTGCACGATTGAAAGCAGTGGGGCCGACAATTCAGAATTTTGAATGCATCGTGAATTGCATAGAAAATTAAATTTTGGGAATCGAAGCTTCTATAATAACTGCTAGATCGTTACTTTCCTCGTTGAATTGGCTGTTTTGTTTTCAACACAATGATTTCATGCTAAAAGCAAAAAACAAATTGGAAGAAATGGGCTGGGGAAATGCTGATTTTCCCAAGGTCCCAAAGCTATTGATTCGTGTTTGGAAACGCATGAAAAACATCGCATTAGTTAAACTAATGCGATGAATGGCTAGAACGTGCAGGAGGAATCAAAGAAATTACCCAAATAGCAAGCGCATAAAAATTGCGCGCAGATGGGTTTTAAAAAAAATCCAGCCGAGCATGCTCATTTGGTCAATTTTTGTGTTCACCATTTGGGCTCTAGGGAAGGTTCTTCGAAATTTTGACACAATAACTCTAACTACAGGCTTCACTTACTGTAATCAGTGTCAATGATGTTCCAGATGATCAACATGTAAAATTTTATACCAAAAACACTATTTTCGACATAAAAATTACAATTGTTAGCAACAACAAACGCGTACGTCTTGAAAGTTTATAATTGAAACCAATTTAATGGAGAGTTTTTCTTGCTGCAGGCTTTTTAGATTGTTTTTGACGTTGCCTGTAAGTTTGGCTAGTGCTGAACAAGTCATGAGTTCTATAAAAATTGTAAAACAATATCGTCGAGCTCTTTTCTTAAATCCGCCACTGGACAATATAGATAAATCTTATGTTTAAACATGTATGAGTCACACACCATCATCACTCTCTTAGGTCCTAGATTTTTACTAACAAGCATGTTTGATTCTTTTTAATTTTTTTTTGTCTTTACAGGAGTTTAGTCTGATCGAGAGAAGGGAACTTGCTCCACTGCAAGAACTAATTGATAAATTAACAGCAAAAGAAGGAAGATAAATAATACAAGTAGTACTAAAAAGTTACTTCTGTACTTGCATTTAATCCCCAGCCTATATGTGTGTGCTTTATATATTTTCCTCTATGGTACATTGGCTACAATTTGCACTATAGTGATTCATTTTATGTTTATAAGTATTTTTTTTTTATTGTGAAAGGTTAATGTCACAAAATTAATATACCTACACAAGGTTTGGAATAAAAGCAAATAAATTGTGATAAATAAATTGAATAAATCCGGTATGTAATGTTTACGTATATTTTTATACAGGGTATGGTAAATTACCATATTAATTTGGGGATCTTGCCACCAAGTTGGTGGTAATATTATTATTACAGTAATAAAGAATAAAAATTTGACAATATTTTTGTATTGGATGGAAATAATAATTGCGGTCCAAAATTAAATGTGCCTATTTAATAATAATTATTTTTATAGATAAAATAGGCTTTCTCTCTGAATCCTTAAAATATTTAAAATTTTATTCCAACCCTTTTTTAGATTTTTGTGGAGTAATATCAAATCAAGGTATAAATAGGTATACTAATAAATTATTTGTATCTACGGAATTTCTATGACAAAAAGATTTTTTTTACTGTAGTACTGTAGTATCCTACTACATAGGTATTTATTTTTTGTACAATAATTGCTTAACACATTATTACAGGGTTACTTTTGCGATTTTTTTGTTAAAAAACGTGCACATATCTCATTAATAAAAATGTGTATTAATTCAATACTATTGTAAATATAATAAATCGACTTTATTAGGTGCAATTCAAAATACTAATATATGTATTATCATTTAGGATTATTAATTTTGTAGTTTTTTAATTTATATTTTTTTAACAATAGTTTCATTAGTCATTAACATTTTGTTATAAAAACCTTTTATTAGTCACTACCAAAGTGATTAGTGACAATAATTTAGTATATGTTAGGTGCAATAGAGGTTTAAATTTAATAATTATTTTTACTTTGATTTATTATATCTGTAACCTCTTGGCTTTTTATACAAGTTTAGTCTGCTTTATAAGTACACATTTTAAGATATGTAATTTGTCTAAAAATGATATTTTGACCTATTGTCTAATGTGTTATTTAAAAGGGCGAAGCTATCAATTTTTGAACATTTTATAAATAGCTTTGTGGCTTTTTCCAATAACTTTGTATTTTCTATCGTCGATCTATAGCTAATGTTAGCACATTTTTGTTTTTTTTTGTATTTTGTCAAAATATTTTATTACATTTTTGTTATTTAATGTATTAATTTATTTGTTTATGCAGTAATTATGAACTGTTTTCTGTATATATAAATAAAAAATTTTGTAGAATATAAATTTGTTTTTCCAAGTAACCTTTAACGAGTTTTTGAACAGGTATAATTTACTCATTATTAAAAGGTTTACAAATCAAATTTAAATTTCCCATACCAAAGGTATATTTGAGTATGCGCAATGGTCTAAAAAATCCCCTCTACCATAAAAATTTAAGGAGGGACGCCAAGCTTCGCCATCTTTATAATCCTTGAAGTTCACTTTTATAAATCGTAGTTGTCTTTTGTTTTGTAACAGTCACTTTATAAATTAAATAGGTAAGTAAAGTGTGCATTTGTTTCACAAAAAGACAATTGTCAACCCTACTTGTGGACATTAAAATATATTGATTTTTACAGTGTGAAACTAACGTGTGTATTAATTTTATTTATAGCCAATATGTCTCGTTATCGTGAATGGGATCTCTCTTGTAAAGTATACGTCGGAAATTTGGGTTCCTCTGCAAGCAAACACGAAATAGAAAGTGCATTCAGCAAATATGGTCCACTGAGAAATGTCTGGGTGGCCAGAAACCCACCTGGTTTTGCCTTCGTTGAATTCGAAGACACCAGAGATGCTGAAGATGCAGTCCGCGGACTAGACGGAACGTAAGTCGATTTTAAACAACAGATCAACAAAAAAAATTCAACTCTTCACCTCACCTTTATGCTTACATCTTTATGATGGTAATTATCTCTACCTACAGCAGATTATTAACCATAAGCTTTAATTTTAATATGTTTATTAAAGGCAACTTATTTCATTGCTTTGTTATTTCTTTAGACGGTGTTGTGGAACCAGAGTTCGTGTTGAAATGTCAAATGGCAGATCAAGACGGGGAGGAGGTGGTGGTGGTGGACGTAGGGGCCCATCCAGATATTCAAGGTAAGTGTTTATTAAATTTTTGTGTTTTTATTTTAAAATTTAATTTTATTACCCAGCACAACATCATTGAGTTCAAATTATCTTCAGTTTAGCTCTTGCTGTGATTTTTTATTCATTTTGCTCATTTGGGTGGAAAGAAATCATTTAACGAGTTAATTTAAAATTGAGTGGCATGGGCACAAAGCATTACTTGCGCGCGTTTAAAATATAGGTTCATGCATAGTTTGTTTTTTTTATTCAGATTTTGATGTCAAAAAATTTGGGCATTTAGTTGGCAAATACTAGCAACCCTAACTTATAATTGGTTACATTGAGTAAAATATAATTGTGGTTATGTTACACTTTGCTTCTGAAGATGCCAACAATGTTGGCAAAAAGTAGTTTAAGCACTTTGTGTTTTGTCTAATATTTGTTTAACATATCACCAAAGTTGTCCTTTTTCAAGTGATATGTTATATGTTTATAAATTTTGAAATGTCAAATAGGTATAAGTAACAACTGTTGTTAAAAAATGAAGTAACTTTACCATTGATGAAATATAGGGTAGAAATATACCTACATGTATTTTTGGATAATATTATTCAGTTTGTCCTTTCAAAATTTAATGCAGGAATTTATATGTAATAATAAAAATATATTTAAAGATTTGTGTGAATACTGAAATTTTGTCCAATGGTGAATAAATGGGTATTTCACTAAATTCACTAAACATTAATACTTGTAGCTTGTTAATAAGGATTATATTACTCCAAAAATATATTTAAGCTGGTTAATGTTTTCCTTCTCTAGCATTGGGAATTATTTTATTATTATTGTTTTTAAAATTTCTTTTCATTGAGGATTTTGTTATATTTGGCATTGTTTATTATAATTCAGACTAGAGGTGTGTAGTTCGCGAACGAACTAGTTCAAAAGATCGAATTTCGTAACTGAACTAAAAGATTCAATCACCAAAACTAAAAAGAGCGAATCAATTCGAACTAAACTAAAAATCCGTAGATATATTTCATTATATCCGTATTTACTAATGGATTTTTTTTTCACGCAAATTCGTAATTGTCCCTAAAATAGGCAACCAAATCAACCACTTAATGGTTTTGGCAACAGCGTACCATTTTGACCAGCAGCAAGTGCAATTCCAAGAACACTTCTTTGGTGCAAATCAATCAATCAATCTCAATATAGTTCACTTGAACTACTAGAGAAGTGTAGTTCGCGAACGAAACTACGTAAATCCGACAAATCCGATTATAAATCAGTGAACTAAACGAACTAGTCTTTTGTACTATTCACTTTAATGAACGAGATCGAAAGATCGAAATCAGGAAAGTGAACTAAACTTCCCACCTCTAATTCAGACAATTAAATGTCAAAGTATTTAAAAATTTAATTTAATTAAGGCCTTGGACAGGAGCACCAATTTTAAATATTAAAAATACCATAATATAACATTTGATTATGTTGGTACTGTATGTCAATATATCTACTTATTTTTTATATTTAAAATTGTTACTCCTATCCAAGGCCTTGATTTTAAATACTTTAAAATTTATCATCAAAGACAACAAAAAATTCTGAAAAAAAAATTTCTGGAATGTAAAGTCACCTATTTTTCATTTCATTTCATTTAATTTTTCATCATATTGCATTTTTAACAACTTATCTTTGAAATTTTTAAAATTTATATAAACATTCTTACAGCATATTACCACAGTTATATTCTCCACTAAATTATTTTTTCTCAAGCGTAATATTTTTGTTCTACTCCTATTGCACAATATTGACATTATTTGGGTTTTTTTGTAAATAATGGTAATCAATGCTCTGTCTAACAACGTGAATAATAAACTCAATATTCACGTTGTTAGACATCAGTTATTGGCTAATTTCAATATTCACTGTTATTTAAACTAATCAGGTTTTAAATTAGAAAAAAGTAAGGCTAACGATGTAAGATTTTTTTATTGATAAACGGATACATGAAAATTAAGCTTAAGCGCACATTGTAAGCATGCGCAATTAAGATTTTGCTTTCAGTTCTTACACTTTGATTGCCTTTTATGTGGCGGAGTCCTACAATTGAGGCCAAATAGCATACAAAATTATTATTATAATTATTTAAAGTTAAAAGTGAGGTAAAATAGATTTGACAGTCGATTTTTTTATTTGTTCAAAATAATTACTTATTGTCAAATCTATCTAACCTCACTTTAAATATTCAATACAGCCTAGGCTGTAAATAACCTAACCCGATTGGTCTAAATCATTTTTGTGCCTAGGCCATAATCACTTTAGTAACAAGTGTTGACAACAATAATGTTGATTGAAGATAAAATAACATACCAGCTCTTATGAACTCAGGATTGTTGTGCTGAACCAAAATAATATTTAATCTGGAAAAAACAATATAGGGATCAATGTTAGGTTTTTGCATTATTTTTAATTTGCATAATTAAATGGTTGTATAGAATAATAAATTAATGTGCAGTTATACAGTTTTGGAAAATGTTCAATTTAAATCTTGAAAAACATGATAAAAGTAATTTTAATAATGGGAGTATTTTAACTCAGTATACAATACATCATACACTCATGGGCAAAAGTATAACATTTTTTTAATTTAAAGTTTCAGCATGGAAAAAATTAGCAGAAATTTATATATAAAAAAATATATAATTTGTTTCTTACTGAAAAATTTTTTATATAATTATTTAAATATAATGTGGATTTAAGTAAAAAAAGGGTTGGATATATTTAACAGAGCCAACCCCAAGCTAAAAAAATTCATAGGATTTTTAATAACATTACAACTGTCTACAGAACTATAAAAATGTCAATTAAATGCTATGCTGAAATGAGGGGTATAGAAACCAAACCAAATAAAAAGACAATTTTAACAAATGCTAACAATTTTTTTTTAGATTTCCATAAAAAATATACTGCAGTAATTAATTTTTAAGCCATCAACATGATCCACTTTTTTTGCTCAAATTTAGAAACGATTTTCTGAAAGAATCCATGAAAAATAACACCTGCGCTAAAGTGTTATTTCCCACAGGTTTTCCATAAATTATTTCAAATTTTTTTTCAAAACTTCAGAAACAAAATAGGATCATGTTGATAGCTTAAACATTGATTATTATAGTTTATTTTTATATTTTATAAAAAAATGGCGTATAAAAACAAATGTAACTTTAAAAGTTATTTTATTGGAGTCTGTGCTCTAAAAAAATCCCAAATTATTTGTGAATGTGTCTCATGCCTTACATAATCATATATTAAATTTTGAAGACATTTTATGGAAACTCTTCAAATGGAGATACTACCTTGAAAGCAACAAACATTTTTTTTAATATTTCTCAAAACTCATTTCTTATTACAATGTTGTGTTGCATAGGATTCAATTCTATATATACAGTGTTGGCCATAATTTTTGGAACCACTGTAAAAAAAATTAACTCTAAAGACCGAATTTTTGTTAGTATACCCTGAAAATTTTGTACAAATTAAACGAACAGTAACGAAGATACAGCGCTTCAAAGTCGGTAAAAATTGCTGAAAAGTGGTCATTTTTAACGACTTTGAATCGCTGTATCTTCGTTGCTGTTCATTTGATTTGTACAAAATTTTCAGGGTATACTAACAAAAATACGTTCTTGAACAGCATATTTTTTATTTACTTAAAAAAAATTCCCTAAAAGTTATTTTTCGAACGTTTTTTCTTTATTAAATAAAAGGGCTTTAAAAATATTTTATTTTATCCAAAATTTCATAAAGAATAATAAAGGCGTTTTAGAGTTAGATTTTTTTTACAGTGGCCAACCCTGTATATATATATATATATATATATATATATATATATATTATAATATTTAACATGCTATATCTTTAAAATAAAGCAAAATTGATAGATACCCAAAACTTTTGCTTATGAGTGTTTTCAATAATTTGTGAGATAGCAGCTGATAAATAGGTTAACGAAATTTAGTAAACCTTCTTACATATTTTCACCTATTTAATGATGTAAAAATAGTTCCAATGAAAAATATAAAAGAAAAGTTGAGAGAGTGTTAATTAATTTAAAGTAATTATAAATTGTGTGTTTACATTTTAAAAATCAATTATTTGAATAAAAAAAATATATATACCTTAATAGTAAAACAGCAGTTAAACTAGTTTGTGCGCACGTTGCAGGGCATCAGCGCCTCTGCTGTTGTTCCCTCCCTGAGACTGAGACCCAATCCCTTCCAACGCCTGCCCGTTATGGCCATGACACATCAATTTCATCATCAATTACATCGACACACAACCAACAATCAAATCGAGCAACATCCACCCGATGGTGGTGACCATCGATCGAAAAATTGAACGCCTCAGCCCTCTCAGCTTTTATTACAACTACAATTGTCACCAACCACCAGCTAAGATACCACCTACTCGTTCGCATCCTATGCATCGTAGGGGCCAACAACCAAACCACCAGATCAAGTGCGCATCCATCGAAAATAATCCCCAACAATACAACCGCAACTTAAAAATCAACTCTTCTTCCAAAACAACTATCATATCTGGTGGGATATATTTTTCAAATAAATATCAATATAATTTAAATATTAATGGGAATCTTACACGTAATTAGAGTAATTTTTAACGTTTTTTTGTTCATAGGGCTTGCTCAAAATACAAGTGTACAAGTACAGGAATTCATTTTACACTGTTTAAAGCAAATTAATCACTATTTGGTGAAAAATGTTTCTTTGCAATCATTAAAATAAGTTCACATATTCTAGTACAATTACATTTGTGCAATTTATCTGTTTGTTTATTTTTTTGTTGTAATTTCTGTTTACAATTGGTTACTTAAGTTGTAAAACACCCTATATATACTGTATTTCATAAAAAAAATTAAAAATTGTTTACCCAAATATTGTATTGATAAAAATTGCAACCTACTTATGACGCAACCAATGCAATACAATCTCTGTTTATGTATTACACACCATCTTATTTAACATAACTCAACAATTTTATTAGAGTTAAAAGTAAATAATTAATCACAATGACCTTTTAATTCTAAACTAAAGGTAAGTACAAACAAAATCAATACCTACTACAGAGATATGTGTTACATTGATTTTTATTTGACAATTTGCAGAATTATTACTGTTAGTCATATTATTTATAAACTGGGTGTTCATGAACTCGTTTTCACCTTCGCTTTAAAAGTAATTCAACACTTGTATTTTGAACAAATTAATGGCGATACGAAAATAGTGGAGTTTTTTGGTTTTTACTTATTTATGTTAAATCGTAATTGCGTTCGAAATTTGATTTGTTTTGTGTGTATTTTTAGGTCTAGATCCCCAAGGCGTTCCAGATCTAGGTCGCCACGTTCCCGCAGCCGAGATGGCCGCAGCCGATCAGACTCGAGAGACAGGCGCTAAGAACCGATTAGCTTTAGGATTTTATATTTGTTCTTTATTAGAATTATGACTTTATATTCTTACTTCTTTTTATTTAAACGTATAATTGTATTGTAATTTTTGACAAGTAAATCACAATAGATAAGTAGATACATTTATTAATTACCTATTCTTTCATCGTTTTTTTCTAAAGTCAAGTCAAATCCAAGCCGGACTCTACATAAACACAATCATGCGTTGTTCATGCTCTATTCACGTGATCGATGAAAATTGTTGCACTGGGCCGTATTAAAATATATTGAATCAATATTATTGATCATTTAATATTTAAAATTTATTTTTTTAAACTTTGATGGAAAGGTTTTAAGATATTTATAAAATTTATATTTTTTAAATTACGAAATTAACAAAATTTTGGGAAATAATTTCATTATTATTTTAAATTTATTTTTTTAAACTTTAATGGAAACTTTTTAAATTTTTTTTACGAAAATTATATTTTTTAAATGAACTTCACGAAATTTTTGAAAATTATTTTAAATTTATTGTTTTAAACTTTAATAATTAAAGTTTAATGAAAACATTTATAATAACCTCTTTTATTTCCACACTTAAGTGATTTCTTTTAGACCGTTTTTTAACTGGGCTTAAGTCCTCAAAATGTTCAGCTTCGTCTGTGCTAGACATCTTAATTGAATAATAATAACAATAAAAACCAAATAACCAAAACAATGATAGCAATAACAACAAATAACGTTATATAACAAGTATTAATAATAAAACTAACAAAAATAAGCACAAAGATGAAAGCCGCGAAACCAAGGAAGTAATCAAACAATACGCTATTAAGGTAGTTGTCGTGCTATAAGCATACCATCAGAAAATTTTGAATTTTTGTATACTTATTAAGGACATGACAATACATATATCCTTAAAATTTGAAGTCGATTGACCGTCTATAACCCGAGATAAATTCAATTAAAAATTGGATAATTAACATGGATTGTATAGGCTTTCTGTAGTTCTGTACCAGTTTCTTAGTTATACAGAAAAAACTAACTGTCAGAAGCTTTCAAAAAACTAACATTGTTTTAATGTATTATTGCTGAGTTTAAAAAAAAATAATTAAAAATTTTTGACCGTCCAATTGTTTATAAATAACCGTTTAAAGTTCAACAATTTGTAAAAAGTATACATCACTAGTGTCAGATAAAAACAACTTGGCAAGGCTGTACGCGAGTATAGATATAATTTCCGCAGTAAATTCAAACGTGTGATTCAGTCTCCAATATATCTATTGGTTCAGCATAAGCGACGTTGCCGGATTAAAACTAATGAAAATATTTGAAAGTATTACGTAAAAATAACGTCTCCAGGGTACAGTCTTGCGAACAAATTATGAATCACTTAGCTACCAGCTCGTATACTTTTACGGTGCGTATAATCTAAAAATTTTTGACAATATTGTACCACGACAACTACCTTAATAACCGCAATGGACATAATGCGGCACGCTTCACAACTCAGAATCGCCCAATAAGAACCGTTCTATCCACCTGCAAACGACTGATCACGCGTCTGGCGTTTTTTGTTTTAGTCCGTCTTGGATTTGACTTGACTAAAGTTTAGTGGCGAAGAGTTTTTGTCTATTTTATTCTTTTATGCTGTGCCAACAAAAAATAAATGTCGTTTTGCAATTAAAAAAAATACTTATATCCAGTGTTGTAACGTATCTAGTTACAAGTAACTAGATACAGTATCTAGATACTTTTTATGTATCTGTTTGTGTAACTAGTTACTTATCCCAATCTAGTAACTATAACTGTAACTAGTTACAAATTCTAAGTAACTAGGTGTGTTAAGATACAAAGATACATTTTTAATTAAACTGCGACTATTATTTATTAAAAAAAAAATATTATAAAAAATAAGTTATTTTAAATAAAATATTATAAAAAAAATAAAAATAATAAACATGTATATTTTTGTTGTCACTTTAAAATTCCCTATTTTAAATTTTTTAAAGCAAAAAATAATTTGTATGTATCTTAAAGTATCTAGATACTTTTTGAAGGTAACTGTATCTGTAACTAGTTACTGCAATAAAATCTGTATCTGTATCTAGTTACAAATTTTGGTAAGTAACTGTAACTGTAGCTAGATACTGAAAATATTGTAACTGTTACAACACTGCTTATATCAGTATGATTATATTTGTAATATGAGTAGAGGATTTCAGACAAAGCAAAATCATTGCGTCATCAAAAAGCTCGACAGGCTGTGCCGTCAAATCTGAAATGCCATTTTTTAATTTCCAAAAAATCTTAAAATATAACCATTTTAAAAGTAACCAAAAAAATCAACAAACTTGTAAATTAACCAAAAAAATCAACAAAATTGTAAATTCGCGTTTTTTCATTGTTTGAAATTCATGCTAGATGCAAACGTAATTTCAAAGTATGAAATTGATATAAGTATTTTATTGTTTGAATTAAACTGATTGGTAAAAAAAGTATCCACTAATTTTAATGTTTGAAATAAACAGCGTCAATTTTAATTAATAATATTTACTTATTTGGATTGGTTTATTTAAATATGGTTTAAAGTAATTTAAAAGTTTCTTTTAAATTACTTTTCAATAATTGTAATTATTAATTCCGCACAAAGATAAAAATGAATTGTTCATGTAAATTTGCTTTATTTTATTGTTTAAAATTTATTCTAAATTCAAAAGTAATTTTAAAGTGTGAAATTCACTGTATTTTACTGTTTGAATTAAACTAATTTCAATGAATTGAATTTAACTTTGCCATTTTCAATGAGTGAAATAGGCAAACACAATTTTTTATTCATTGCAATTTGAAATGGTGAATTCCAATCATTGAAATTGTGCATTCCATTAAGTGAAATAACGTAAGTGAATTTTATTGATTGAAATTGACGCCGTTTATTTTAAACAATAAAATTAGTGGATACTTTTCCTTACCAATCAGTTTAATTCAAGCATTGAAATACGGCGAATGTTCGATCCCGACTGACGACATACTGTAAATCCGTTTTTATTTTTCGAGCCTTATAAAATTAATGTTAAGCTGGATGGCTCAAATGGTAGGGCGGTCGCTTGGCATGCGAGAGGTACCGGGTTCGATACCACTAGAAGTTGTCGAACTTTTTTTATTTTATAAATTTGTTGTAAAGTGTTGGGTTGGTTGGTTTGTTTCGGTTTTCGAAGTGGCTCCCGTCCCGAGGCGGGACTTAAGTTCGATCCCGGCTGACTTCACACACTGTAAATCCGTATTCCCCGAGCGTTATAAAACTAATGTTAAGCTGGATGGCTCAGATGGTAGGGCGGTCGCTTGACATGCGAGAGGTACAGGGTTCGATACTAAGTTTTTTTATTTTATAAATTTGTTGTTCTTTTGTTAAAAAGTGTTGGGTTGGGTTGGTTGGTTTGTTTTAGTTTTATCGTAACATAACAAATCTTAACATTTTCAGACCGCAATCAATCTCCAGGAATATTTCCTGCTTATCTTGGATGAACCAGCAAATTCCCCCCACACAGAACACGCTATCCAATGGATATCCAATGGCTATCCCAATGTCCATATAACATCCATGCCTTTTACGATATCCATTGGATATCCAATGGATATCCATACTGGATGTTCAAAAAAAAACAAAAACATTAAAAATATTTTTTCTTTTTTAAAATAGCCCCTTATAGGATAAATTTATGTAATGATTAATAAATATGATTTAAATCGTTATTAACCCAATTTCAACAAAGTATCTCTAATATATATCCAATGGATAACTAATGTATGTCCAAAGTATATCCACTGTACATCTAATGTATATCCACTGGATATCCACTGGATATCCGGTGGATAACTGATATGGATATCTTGTATATATACTTGTATGTATACATGTGGGATTTTGTGATGGTTTAAACTAGCATATGTAAAAAAACGACTTTACGTTAAATTGATTTTTTGCCAAGAGCTACGAAATTTTTAATTTTGAAATGTTCACTTTACCCAGATAATAATATTTATATATTAATAATATTATTTCTGTTAATAATATGACTATGACAGTCTGCAATACAATAAAAAATTACTTAAAAAAGTCCTTTTTGTTTATTATTGTATTTCATATATGTACTACGCACGCGCTGAATTTGAGAATCTTCAGTGTTGCCGGTTATAAGCAAAATAACTAAGCGAAATATATTTCCGTACTTTATTAAGTTTTAATAAATAAATTAAATAAATTTAAAATAATTATTCACCACATTTATGTCAAATAGGTATACTAGGTATACTAATTAATTAAGTATTAAAGATTTAATAATATAACCGCCATTTTGATGAGCTTTCTGAAATTATTTAAACGTCTGACAACACTGCCGGCGAACACAGAAGATAAATGTCACCATATTACCTTGCCGCTGCATCTCGCCGCTGTCCAGGTCGCCCAACTAGTATATAGGTGGGCGGTTGCTTGGCTTGAAGCGTGTCTCTCGGCACCAACTGCCTGACACTGATGAGACCCAACAGGTCGAAACAGTCTGTCCATGGTTTTTCTATGAGTCTGTCTGTCAGTGTTGGTGGGCATGGTACATTAGTCATTGTGCCATGTTAAACAAATGGGCTGATGGATTGGCCAAATTTTGGGGATCATAAGGAGACAGGTGAAATAGGCCCTAAATGATTAGGCTGATAAAAAGGCAAATGACAGCTGGAGGAGTGATGGCAAGTAGAGGTGGGCCGGTTTGCGATTTTTCAAGAGCTGCGATGCAATGCGACTGCTCCGGCCGGAACACTGTGACAAAAAGCAGCGATTTTTCGAAGCAATGCGATTTGCGATGCTCCAGAGCAGTTTTGTTTGAGCAGTGCCACGGTAAAAGCAAAACACTGGCGAAAGTGCGAACGGCGAAGCAACTAGAGATAAGCGATATTTCACGAACTGTGATTTTTTCACTGATATTTAAAAATCACGAATAACGACTGCTACTTACATCTATTAATTAGCGTGATCTGTGATTTTTCACTCAGCGATATTTTACGAATGGTGTTTTTTCACTGATATTAAAAAGTATTAAATATTAAATAATAACGATAAAACCGTAAATTGCTATTTATCACAA